ACTCACACAGGGTTCAGTGTTAATCACAGAGAGAGACTCACACAGGGTTCAATGTTAATCACAGAGAGAGACTCACACAGGGTTCAGTGTTAATCACAGAGAGAGACTCCCACAGGGTTCAGTGTCAATCACAGAGAGACTCACACAGGGTTCAGTGTTAATCACTGAGAGAGACTCACACAGGGTTCAGTGTTAATCACAGAGAGAGACTCCCACAGGGTTCAGTGTTAATCACAGAGAGAGACTCACACAGGGTTCAGTGTTAATCACAGAGAGAGACTCACACATGGTTCAGTGTTAATCACAGAGAGAGACTCCCACAGGGTTCAGTGTTAATCACAGAGAGAGACTCCCACAGGGTTCAGTGTCAATCACAGAGAGAGACTCACACAGGGTTCAGTGTCAATCACAGAGAGAGACTCACACAGGGTTGAGTGTTAATCACAGAGAGAGACTCCCACAGGGTTCAGTGTTAATCACAGAGAGAGAGAGACACTCACACAGGGTTCAGTGTTAATCACTGAGTGAGAGACTCACACAGGGCTCAGTGTTAATCACAGAGACTCACACAGGGTTCAGTGTTAATCACAGAGAGAGACTCACACAGGGTTCAGTGTTAATCACTGAGAGAGACTCACACAGGGTGCAGTGTTAATGACAGAGAGAGACTCACACAGGGTTCAGTGTTAATCACTGAGTGAGACACTCACACAGGGTTCAGTGTTAATCACAGAGAGAGACTCACACAGGGTTCAGTGTTAATCACAGAGAGAGACTCACACAGGGTGCAGTGTTAATCACAGAGAGAGACTCACACAGGGTTCAGTGTTAATCACAGAGACTCATACAGGGTTCAATGTTAATCACAGAGAGAGACTCACACAGGGTTCAGTGTTAATCACAGAGAGACACTGACACAGGGTTCAGTGTTAATCACAGAGACTCACACAGGGTTCAGTGTTAATCACAGAGACTCACACAGGGTTCAGTGTTAATCACAGAGAGAGACTCACACAGGGTTCAGTGTTAATCACAGAGAGAGACTCACACAGGGTGCAGTGTTAATCACAGAGAGAGACTCACACAGGGTTCAGTGTTAATCACAGAGACTCATACAGGGTTCAATGTTAATCACAGAGAGAGACTCCCACAGGGTTCAGTGTTAAGCACTGAGAGACTCACACAGTGTTCAGTGTTAATCACAGAGAGAGACCCACACAGGGTTCAGTGTTAATCACTGAGAGAGACTCACACAGGGTTCAGTGTTAATCACTGAGAGAAACTCCCACAGGGTTCAGTGTTAATCACAGAGAGAGAGACTCACTCAGGGTTCAGTGTCAATCACAGAGAGAGAGAGACTCTCACAGGGTTCAGTGTTAATCACAGAGACTCCCACAGGGTTCAGTGTCAATCACAGAGAGCGACTCCCACAGGGTTCAGTGTTAATCACAGAGAGAGAGACTCACACAGGGTTCAGTGTTAATCACAGAGAGAGACTCCCACAGGGTTCAGTGTTAATCACAGAGAGAGACTCCCATAGGGTTCAGTGTTAATCACAGAGAGAGACTCACACAGGGTTCAGTGACAATCACAGAGAGAGACTCACACAGGGTTCAGTGTTAATCACAGAGAGAGACTCACACAGGGTTCAGTGTTAATCACAGAGAGAGACTCCGACAGGGTTCAGTGTTAATCACAGAGAGAGACTCACACAGGGTTCAGTGTTAATCACAGAGAGAGACTCCCACAGGGTTCAGTGTTAATCACAGAGAGAGACTCCCACAGGGTTCAGTGTTAATCACAGAGTGAGACTCACACAGGGTTAAGTGTTAATCACTGAGAGACTCACACAGGGTTCAGTGTTAATCACAGAGAGAGACTCACACAGGGTTCAGTGTTAATCACTGAGAGAGACCCACAGGGTTCAGTGTTAATCACAGAGAGAGAGACTCACACAGGGTTCAGTGTTAATCACAGAGACTCCCACAGGGTTCAGTGTTAATCACAGAGAGAGACTCTCACAGGGTTCAGTGTTAATCACAGAGAGAGACTCACACAGGGTTCAGTGTTAATCACAGTGAGAGACTCACACAGGGTTCAGTGTCAATCACTGAGAGAGACTCCCACAGGGTGCAGTGTTAATCACAGAGAGAGATTCACACAGGGTTCATTGTTAATCACAGAGAGAGACTCACACAGGGTTCAGTGTTAATCACAGAGACTCACACAGGGTTCAGTGTTAATCACAGAGAGAGACTCACACAGGGTTCAGTGTTAATCACAGAGAGAGAGAGACTCACACAGGGTTCAGTGTTAATCACAGAGAGAGAGAGACTCACACAGGGTTCAGTGTTAATCACAGAGACTCACACAGGGTTCAGTGTTAATCACAGAGAGAGACCCACAGGGTTCAGTGTTAATCACAGAGAGAGACTCACGCAGGGTTCAGTGTTAATCACAGAGAGAGACTCACACAGGGTTCAGTGACAATCACAGAGAGAGACTCACTCAGGGTTCAGTGTTAATCACAGAGAGAGACTCAAACAGGGTTCAGTGTTAATCACTGAGAGAGACTCTCACAGGGTTCAGTGTTAATCACAGAGAGAGACTCACACAGGGTTCAGTGTTAATCACAGAGAGAGACTCACTCAGGGTTCAGTGTTAATCACAGAGAGAGACTCACAAAGGGTTCAGTGTTAATCACAGAGAGAGACTCACACAGGGTTCAGTGTTAATCACAGAGAGAGACTCAAACAGGGTTCAGTGTTAATCACTGAGAGAGAATCCCACAGGGTTCAGTGTTAATCACAGAGAGAGAGAGAGACCCACAGGGTTCAGTGTTAATCACAGAGAGAGACTCACACAGGGTTCAGTGTTAATCACAGAGAGAGACTCACACAGGGTTCAGTGTTAATCACAGAGAGAGACTCACACAAGGTTCAGTGTTAATCAAAGAGAGAGACTCCCACAGGGTTCAGTGTTAATCACAGAGACTCCCACAGGGTTCAGTGTTAATCACAGAGAGAGACTCACACAGGGTTCAGTGTTAATCAAAGAGAGAGACTCCCACAGGGTTCAGTGTTAATCACTGAGAGAGACTCCCACAGGGTTCAGTGTTAATCACAGAGAGACTCTCACAGGGTTCAGTGTTCATCACAGAGAGAGACTCACACAGGGTTCAGTGTCAATCACAGAGAGAGAGACTCCCACAGGGTTCAGTGTCAATCACAGAGAGAGAGAGACTCTCACAGGGTTCAGTGTTTATCAAAGAGACTCCAACAGGGTTCAGTGTTAATCACAGAGAGAGACTCACACAGGGTTCAGTGTTAATCACAGAGAGAGACTCACACAGGGTTCAGTGTCAATCACAGAGAGAGACTCACACAGGTTCGGTGTTAATCACAGAGAGAGACTCACACAGGGTTCAGAGTTAATCACAGAGAGAGACTCCCACAGGGTTCAGTGTTAATCACAGAGAGAGAGACTCACGCAGGGTTCAGTGTCAATCACAGAGAGAGACTCACACAGGGTTCAGTGTTAATCACAGAGAGAGACTCACACAGGGTTCAGTGTTAATCACAGAGAGAGACTCACACAGGGTTCAGTGTTAATCACAGAGAGACACTCACACAGGGTTCAGTGTTAATCACAGAGAGAGACTCACACAGGGTTCAGTGTTAATCACAGAGAGACTCACACAGGGTTCAGTGTTAATCACAGAGAGAGACTCACACAGGGTTCAGTGTTAATCACAGATAGACTCACATAGGGTTCAGTGTTAACCACAGAGACTCACACAGGGTTCAGTGTTAATCACTGAGTGAGAGACTCAAACAGGGTTCAGTGTTAATCACAGAGAGAGACTCCCACAGGGTTCAGTGTTAATCACAGAGAGAGACTCACTCAGGGTTCAGTGTTAATCACAGAGAGAGACTCACAAAGGGTTCAGTGGTAATCACTGAGAGAGAGAGACTCACACAGGGTTCAGTGTTAATCACAGAGAGAGACTCCCACAGGGTTCAGTGTTAATCACAGAGAGAGACTCACACAGGGTTCAGTGTTAATCACAGAGAGAGACTCCCACAGGGTTCAGTGTTAATCACAGAGACTCACACAGAGTTCAGTGTTAATCACAGAGAGAGACTCCCACAGGGTTCAGTGTTAATCACAGAGAGAGACTCCCACAGGGTTCAGTGTCAATCACAGAGAGAGACTCACACAGGGTTCAGTGTTAATCACAGAGAGAGACTCACACAGGGTTCAGTGTTAATCACGGAGAGAGACTCACACAGGGTTCAGTGTTAATCACAGAGAGAGACTCACACAGGGTTCAGTGTTAATCACAGAGAGAGACTCACGCAGGGTTCAGTGTTAATCACAGAGAGAGACTCACTCAGGGTTCAGTGTTAATCACTGAGTGAGAGACTCACACAGGGTTCAGTGTTAATCACAGAGAGAGACTCCCACAGGGTTCAGTGTCAATCACAGAGAGAGACTCCCACAGGGTTCAGTGTTAATCACAGAGAGAGACTCCCACAGGGTTCAGTGTCAATCACAGAGAGAGACTCACACAGGGTTCAGTGTTAATCACAGAGAGAGACTCACACAGGGTTCAGTGTTAATCACGGAGAGAGACTCACACAGGGTTCAGTGTTAATCACAGAGAGAGACTCACACAGGGTTCAGTGTTAATCACAGAGAGAGACTCACGCAGGGTTCAGTGTTAATCACAGAGAGAGACTCACTCAGGGTTCAGTGTTAATCACTGAGTGAGAGACTCACACAGGGTTCAGTGTTAATCACAGAGAGAGACTCCCACAGGGTTCAGTGTCAATCACAGAGAGAGACTCCCACAGGGTTCAGTGTTAATCACAGAGAGAGACTCACACAGGGTTCAGTGTTAATCACCGATAGGGTTCAGTGTTAATCACAGATAGGGTTCAGTGTTAATCACCGATAGGGTTCAGTGTTAATCACCGATAGGGTTCAGTGTTAATCACAGATAGGGTTCAGTGTTAATCACCGATAGGGTTCAGTGTTAATCACTGATAGGGTTCAGTGTTAATCACCGATAGGGTTCAGTGTTAATCACCGATAGGGCTCAGCGTTAATCACCGATAGGGCTCAGCGTTAATCACAGATAGGGTTCAGTGTTAATCACCGATAGGGTTCAGTGTTAATCACCGATAGGGTTCAGTGTTAATCACCGATAGGGTTCAGTGTTAATCACAGATAGGGCTCAGCGTTAATCACCGATAGGGTTCAGTGTTAATCACCGATAGGGCTCAGCGTTAATCACCGATAGGGCTCAGCGTTAATCACCGATAGGGCTCAGTGTTAATCACCGATAGGGTTCAGTGTTAATCACCGATAGGGTTCAGTGTTAATCACAGATAGGGCTCAGCGTTAATCACCGATAGGGTTCAGTGTTAATCACCGATAGGGTTCAGTGTTAATCACCGATAGGGCTCAGCATTAATCACCGATAGGGCTCAGTGTTAATCACCGATAGGGCTCAGCGTTAATCACCGATAGGGTTCAGTGTTAATCACCGATAGGGTTCAGTGTTAATCACAGATAGGGTTCAGTGTTAATCACCGATAGGGTTCAGTGTTAATCACAGATAGGGTTCAGTGTTAATCACTGATAGGGTTCAGCGTTAATCACAGATAGGGCTCAGCGTTAATCACCGATAGGGTTCAGTGTTAATCACCGATAGGGCTCAGCGTTAATCACAGATAGGGTTCAGTGTTAATCACCGATAGGGTTCAGTGTTAATCACCGATAGGGTTCAGTGTTAATCACCGATAGGGCTCAGCGTTAATCACAGATAGGGTTCAGTGTTAATCACCGATAGGGTTCAGTGTTAATCACCGATAGGGTTCAGTGTTAATCACCGATAGGGTTCAGTGTTAATCACCGATAGGGCTCAGCGTTAATCACCGATAGGGTTCAGTGTTAATCACCGATAGGGCTCAGCGTTAATCACCGATAGGGCTCAGCGTTAATCACCGATAAGGGTTCAGTGTTGATCACCGATAGGGTTCAGTGTTAATCACCGATAGGGTTCAGTGTTAATCACCGATAGGGTTCAGTGTTAATCACTGAGTGAGAGACTCTCACAGGGCTCAGTGTTAATCACCGATAGGGCTCAGCGTTAATCACCGATAGGGCTCAGCGTTAATCGATTTTTCCAGACGAGGGCACTGAGGAGTCACCGCTGTTGATGCCCATGACGAGGCGCCCGGCGATGAGGAGCTCGAATGATTCGACGGCACGGCTGAGGCCCATCATCAGCGCCGCGGAGATCGTGAAGGCGTTGCTGGCGAGCAGTCCGTTCCGTCTGGAGCGTCGCTCCGGCGGCGACGGCGACGGCGGCATCGTCATCATCGTCGTCATCATCGTCATTGTCATCATCGTCGTCATCATCATCATCATCATCGTCATCATCATCGTCATTGTCATCATCGTCATCATCATCATCGTCATCATAATCGTCATTGTCATCATCGTCATCATCATCGTCATCATAATCGTCGTCATCATCGTCGTCGTCATCATCATCGTCATCATCATCATCGTCATCAACGTCGTCATCATCATCATCATCGTCATCATCGTCATCATCGTCATCATAATCGTCGTCATCATCATCGTCATCATCGTCGTCATCATTATCGTCGTCGTCGTCGTCAACATCGTCGTCATCATCGTCGTCATCATCGTCATCATCGTCATCATAATCGTCGTCATCATCATCGTCATCATCGTCGTCATCATCGTCATCATCGTCATCATCGTCGTCGTCATCATCATCATCATCATCATCATCGTCGTCATCATCATCGTCGTCATCATGGTCATCATCGTCATCATCGTCATCATCATCATAATCGTCATCATCATCGTCATCATCATCGTCGTCAACATCGTCATCGTCGTCGTCGTCGTCAACATCGTCGTCATCATCGTCGTCATCATCGTCATCATCGTCATCATAATCGTCGTCATCATCATCGTCATCATCGTCGTCATCATCGTCATCATCGTCATCATCGTCGTCGTCATCATCGTCATCATCATCATCATCGTCGTCATCATCATCGTCGTCATCATGGTCATCATCGTCATCATCGTCATCATCATCATAATCGTCATCATCATCGTCATCATCATCGTCGTCAACATCGTCATCGTCGTCGTCGTCGTCAACATCATCGTCATCATCGTGGTCATCATCATTGTTATCATCGTCATCGTCGTCGTCAACATCGTCATCATCATCGTCATCGTCATTATCGTCATCATCATCGTCGTCATAATCGTCGTCATCATCATCGTCATCATCGTCATCATCGTCATCATCATCGTCATTGTCATCATCGTCATCATCATCATCATCATCGTCATCATAATCGTCATCGTCATCATCGTCATCATCGTCATCATCGTCATCATCATCGTCATTGTCATCATCGTCATTGTCATCATCGTCATCATCATCATCATCATCGTCGTCATCATCGTCATCATAATCATAATCGTCATCATCATCATCGTCGTCAACATCGTCATCGTCATCGTCGTCGTCAACATCATCGTCATCATCGTGGTCATCATCATTGTTATCATCGTCATCGTCGTCGTCAACATCGTCATCATCATCGTCATCGTCATTATCGTCATCGTCATTATCGTCATCATCATCGTCGTCATAATCGTCGTCATCATCATCATCATCGTCATCATCATCGTCGTCATAATCGTCGTCATCATCATCATCGTCATCACCATCATCGTCATCATCATCGTCATCATCGTCGTCGTCGTCATGGTCATCATCATCGTCGTCCTCACCATCATCGTAGTCATCATCATCATCATCGTCATCGTCATCACCATCATCGTCGTCATCGTCATCATCGTCGTCGTTATTATCATCATCATCGTCATCATCGTCGTCATCACCATCATCAGCATCGTCATCGTCGTCATCATCATCGTCGTCATCATCATCGTCGTCATCATCATCGTCATCATCAGCAGCAGGTCACTCACCTATAGACCTAATTACTCACTCATCCACTCACTCATCCACTCACTCATCCACTCACTCATCCACTCACTCACTCACTCTCATCCACTCACTCATCCACCAATATCACTCATCCACCCACTCACTCATCCACCCACTCACTCACTCATCCACTCTCTCACTCACCAACCCACTCACTCATCCACCCACCCACCCACCCACTCTCATCCACTCACTCACCCACTCACTCACTCACCCACTCATCCACTCACTCATCCACTCACTCACTCACTCACCCACTCTCTCATCCACTCACCCACCCACTCATCCACTCACCCACTCACCCACCCACTCAATCATCCACTCACTCACACACTCTCATCCACTCACTCATCCACCAATATCACTCATCCACCCACTCACTCATCCACCCACTCACTCACTCATCCACTCTCTCACTCACCAACCCACTCACTCATCCACCCACCCACCCACTCTCATCCACTCACTCACCCACTCACTCACTCACTCACCCACTCATCCACTCACTCATCCACTCACTCACTCACTCACCCACTTTCATCCACTCACTCATCCACTCATCCACTCACCCACTCACCCACCCACTCAATCATCCACTCACTCACACACTCATTCATTCACTCAACCACTCACCCACTAACTCACTCATCCACTCACCCACTAACTCACTCATCCACTCACTCACTCACTCACCCCGTCACCCCCTCAGCCACTCATTCATCTACTCACTCATCCACTCACCCCCTCACTCATCCACTCACCCCCTCACTCATCCACTCACCCCCTCACTCATCCACTCACCCCCTCACCCACCCCTTCACCCACCCCTTCACCCACCCCCTCACCCACTCACTCACCCACTCACTGACCCACTCACTCACCCACTCACTCACCCACTCACCCACACACCCACTCACCCACACACCCACTCACCCACTCACTCTCTCACTCACTCACTCACACACTCACCCACTCACTCACTCTCTCACTCACTCTCTCACTCACCCACTCACTCACCCACTCACTCGCCCACTCACTCACCCACCCACTCACTCACCCACCCACTCACCCACCCACTCGCCCACTCACTCACCCACCCACTCACCCACCCACCCACTCACTCACACACTCACTCACTCACCCACCCACTCACTCACACTCACTCACCCACTCACTCACTCACCCACTCACTCACACACTCACTCACCCACTCACTCACTCACACACTCACTCACCCACTGACTCACTCACTCCCTCACTCACCCACTCACTCACCCACTCACCCACCCACCCACTCACTCGCCCACTCACTCACCCACCCACTCACTCACCCACCCACTCACCCACCCACTCGCCCACTCACTCACCCACCCACTCACCCACCCACTCACTCACACACTCACTCACTCACCCACCCACTCACTCACTCACACTCACTCACTCACCCACTCACTCACTCACCCACTCACTCACCCACTCACCCACCCACCCACTCACTCGCCCACTCACTCACCCACCCACTCACTCACCCACCCACTCACCCACCCACTCACCCACCCACTCACTCACTCACCCACCCACTCACTCACTCACACTCACTCACCCACTCACTCACTCACCCACTCACTCACCCACTCACTCACTCTCTCACCCACTCACTCACTCACACACTCACTCACCCACTCACTCACTCACCCACTCACTCACCCACTCACCCACCCCCTCACCCACCAACTCACCCCCTCACTCACCCACTCACTCACTCATCCACTCACTCACTCACTCATCCACTCACTCACTCATTCATCCACTCACCCCCTCCCTCACCCCCCTCACCCCCCCCTCACCTGCCCACCCTGACTGCGAGGGGCCCCGCCAGCAAGGCCCCCAGAAGGCCCCCAGCCGTGTAGGCGGCCACGACGAGAGACCAGAGCAGAAGCAGCCCGGCTGGGCTCACCGCCTCGCCGTGGCGAGACAGCCACGTGGCGTTCATGAACTCCTGCACGGCCTGGAGGCAGCGGCAGCAGCAGCAGTAGCATCAGTAGCATCATCATCATCATCAGTAGCAGCATCATCATCATCAGCATCATCATCATCAGTAGCATCATCATCAGCATCATCAGCAGCAGCAGTAGCATCAGTAGCATCATCATCAGTAGCAGCAGTAGCATCAGTAGCATCATCATCAGCATCATCATCAGTAGCAGCAGTAGCATCAGTAGCATCATCATCAGCAGCAGCAGTAGCATCAGTAGCATCATCATCAGTAGCAGCAGTAGCATCAGTAGCATCATCATCATCAGCAGCAGCATCATCAGCATCAGCAGTAGCATCATCATCAGCAGCAGCAGTAGCATCAGTAGCATCATCATCAGTAGCAGCAGTAGCATCAGTAGCATCATCATCATCAGCAGCAGCATCATCAGCAGCAGCATCATCAGCATCATCAGTAGCATCATCATCAGTAGCATCATCATCATCAGCAGCATTATCAGTAGCTGCAGCATTAGTAGCATCAGTAGCATCAGCAGCAGCAGCAGCATCATCAGTATCATCATCAGTAGCATCATCATCATCAGCAGCAGCATCATCATCAGCAGCATCAGTATCATCATCAGCAGCAGCATCATCAGCATCATCAGTATCATCATCAGTAGCATCATCATCAGCAGCATTATCAGTAGCTGCAGCATCAGTAGCATCAGTAGCATCAGTAGTAGCAGCAGCAGCAGCATCACCATCATCATCATCAGTATCATCATCAGTAGCATCATCATCAGTAGCATCATCATCATCAGCAGCATTATCAGTAGCTGCAGCATTAGTAGCATCAGTAGCATCAGTAGTAGCAGCAGCAGCAGCATCATCAGTATCATCATCAGTAGCATCATCATCATCAGCAGCAGCATCATCATCAGCAGCATCAGTATCATCAGCAGCAGCAGCATCATCAGCATCATCAGTATCATCATCAGTATCATCATCAGTAGCATCATCATCATCAGTATCATCATCAGTATCATCATCATCAGCAGCAGCATCATCAGCAGCAGTAGCTGCATCATCAGCATCATCATCATCAGTAGCAGAAGCATCATCATCAGTAACATCACCATCAGCAGCATCACCAGCATCATCATCAGCAGCATCGGCATCATCATCATCATCATCCGCAGCAGCAGCAGCAGTAGCAGCATCATCGTCATCAGCAGCAGCCGCAGCATCATCATAATCATCATCAGCAGCAGCAGTAGCAGAAGCAGCATCATCAGCATCATCAGCAGCAGCAGAAGAATCAGCAGCAGTAGCAGCATCAGCAGCATCGTCATCAGCTGTAGCATCAACTTCATCATCATTATCAACAACATTACCACCACCATCACCACCACCCCCACCACCATCACCACCACCACCACTGCCATCACCACCACCGCCATCACCACCATCACCATCACCACCACCCCCATCACCACCACCCCCACCACCCCCACCACCACCATCACCACCATCACCACCACGACCATCACCACCACCACCATCACCACCCCCACCACCACGCCCATCACCCCCACCACCACCATCACCATCACCACCCCCACCACCACCACCCCCACCACCACCCCCACCACCATCACCATCACCACCACCACCCCCATCACCCCCACCACAACCACCACCACCATCACCACCCCCACCACCACCACCACCCCCACCACCACCACCATCACCACCACCACCCCCACCACCACCACCCCCACCACCACCCCCACCACCACCACCACCCCCACCACTACCACTACCACCACCACCCCCACCACCACCACCACCACCACCACCATCACCACCCCCACCACCACCCCCATCACCCCCACCACCACCACCCCCACCACCACCCCCACCACCATCACCATCACCACCACCACCACCATCACCCCCACCACCACCAACACCATCACCACCACCATCACCACCACCACCATCACCACCACCACCACCATCACCCCCACCACCACCAACACCATCACCACCATCATCACCACCACCACCATCACCACCACCACCACCACCATCACCACCATCACCACCACCACCATCACCACCCCCACCACCACCACCCCCACCACCACCACCCCCACCCCCACCACCACCACCCCCACCACCACCCCCACCACCATCACCATCACCACCCCCATCACCCCCACCACAACCACCACCACCATCACCACCCCCACCACCACCACCCCCACCACCACCCCCACCACCATCGCCATCACCACCACCATCACCACCATCATCACCACCACCATCACCACCATCATCACCACCACCATCACCATCACCACCACCACCATCACCACCCCCACCACCACCCCCATCACCCCCACCACCACCACCACCATCACCACCCCCACCACCACCATCACCACCCCCACCACCACCACCATCACCACCACCATCACCACCCCCACCACCACCCCCATCACCCCCATCACCACCACCATCATCACCCCCACCACCACCACCACCATCACCACCCCCACCACCACCACCATCACCACCACCACCGCCATCACCACCACCATCACCACCACCCCCATCACCCCCATCACCACCACCATCATCACCCCCACCACCACCCCCATCACCCCCATCACCACCACCACCACCCCCACCACCACCACCCCCACCACCACCATCACCACCATCACCACCACCACCACCACCACCCCCACCACCACCATCACCACCATCACCACCACCACCCCCACCATCACCATCACCACCATCACCCCCACCACCACCAACACCATCACCACCATCACCACCATCACCATCACCACCACCATCACCACCTTGGTGGGCGAGTTGATGAGTGTGAGGTTGAGGCCGAACTGGAAGCTGCCTCCAATCGCCGTTGCCGTGGCCAAGAGGCACATCCGGAACGTCGCCAACTGCACGCGCACAAAGACAAAGGGCACCCAGGTAGCCTCCACCAGGGCTGCAGGGGGCAAGTGCTGTGAGCACGGCAAAGTACAGACAAAGGGCACCCAGGTAGCCTCCACCAGGGCTGCAGGGGGCAAGTGCTGTGAGCACACCAAAGTACAAACAAAGGGCACCCAGGTAGCCTCCACCAGGGCTGCAGGGGGCAAGTGCTGTGAGCACGGCAAAGTACAGACAAAGGGCACCCAGGTAGCCTCCACCAGGGCTGCAGGGGCAAGTGCTGTGAGCACGGCAAAGTACAGACAAAGGGCACCCAGATAGCCTCCACCAGGGCTGCAGGGGGCAAGTGCTGTTAGCACACCAAAGTACAGACAAAGGGCACCCAGGTAGCCTCCACCAGGGCTGCAGGGGCAAGTGCTGTGAGCACGGCAAAGTACAGACAAAGGGCACCCAGGTAGCCTCCACCAGGGCTGCAGGGGCAAGTGCTGTGAGCACGGCAAAGTACAGACAAAGGGCACCCAGATAGCCTCCACCAGGGCTGCAGGGGGCAAGTGCTGTTAGCACACCAAAGTACAGACAAAGGGCACCCAGGTAGCCTCCACCAGGGCTGCAGGGGCAAGTGCTGTGATCACACCAAAGTACAGACAAAGGAGATCCAGGTAGCCTCTACCAGGGCTGCAGGGGCAAGTGCTGTCATCACAGCAAAGTACAGACATAGAACACCCGGGTAGCCTCCACCAGGGCTGCAGGGGCAAGTGCTGTGAGCACGGCAAAGTACAGACAAAGGATACCCGGGTAGCCTCCAACAGTGACACAACAACAACCGCCATTCGCCACTGGCGGTGACGTCACCACGACGCTTGTGCCAGGCTATGTGCACCTTGAGGCTATCACGTGGAGTGTCGAAGGCCCGCTGGCAGGAGGTCACGGGGCAGACCCAGGTGCCACGGGTCGACTGACTGAGATGACTGGCTGATGCACCACCTGTGCCCCCTACTGTGACAACCTGCTGTGCTTTAGCCACCCGGCGCTCCGCTCGTTGTTGTGAGCGTTGCTCCTCCGCCCTCCGTTGTTGTTGCTGGAGGGCGACTGCCTCCCAACTGCCCATTACCTCACTGTGCACCTAGCCTGGCACTGCCCAGGAGCAGCGTCCTTCACGAGCCTCCTCCTCCTCCACAGAGGGCGATCTTGACACCGCTGGTACCAGTCAACGGCAAGTCCACTCAGCTCCATGTTCTCCCGTACCGCGTCACTCCATCTATTCTCTAGCCCGTGTCACTCACCCACTCACCCACTCACGCACCCACCCACTTACCCACCCACTCACCCACCCACTCACTCACCCACCCACTCACCCACCCATCATTCCATCTATTCTCTAGACCGTGTCACCCACTCACTCACTCAGTCACTCACTCACTCACTCAACCACCCAATCACCCACCCATCAATCCATGTCTTCTCTAGCCCGTGTCACTCACCCACTCACTCACCCAATCAATCACTCACCCACCCACTCACTCACCCACTCAGTCACTCACTCACCCACCCACTCACCCACTCACCCACCCACTCACCCATCACTCCATCTCTTCTCTAGCCCGTGTCACTCACCCACCCACTCACTCACTCACTCACCCACTCACGCACTCACTCACCCACTCACTCACCCACTCACCCATCACTCACCCACTCACTCACTCACCCCCTCACCCACCCACCCACTCACTCACCCACTCACTCACTCACTCACCCATCACTCACTCACCCATCACTCACTCACCCACTCACTCACTCCCTCACTCACCCACTCACTCACTCATCCATCACTCCATCTCTTCTCTAGCCCGTGCTACTCACCCACCCACTCACTCACCCACTTATCCACCCACTCACTCACACATCTCTCACCCACCCACTCACTCAAACACTCACTCACCCACTCATCCACCCACTCACTCACCCACCCACTCACTCAGCCACCCACTCACTCACCCACCCACCCACTCACCCACCCACCCACTCACCCACCCACCCACTCACCCACCCACCCACTCACCCACCCAACCATCACTCACTCACCCACTCATCACTCACTCACCCACTCACCCACCCATCACTCACCCACTCACTCACCCACTCACTCACCCATCACTCACTCACCCATCACTCACTCACCCACCCACCCACTCACTCACTCACCCACTCACTCACCTACTCACTCACCCACTCACTCACCTACTCACTCACCCACCCACTCACCCACTCACTCACACACTCAGCCACCCACTCACTCACCCACCCACTCACCCACCTACCCCCTCACTCACCCCCTCACCCACCCACTCACTCACCCACTCACTCACTCACCCACTCACCCACTCACTCACTCACCCACTCACCCACTCACTCACTCACCCACCCACCCACTCACCCACTCACTCACTCACCCACCCACTCACTCACCCACCCCCTCACCCACCCACTCACTCACCCACTCACTCACCCACTCACCCATCACTCACTCACCCATCACTCACCCATCACTCACTCACCCACTCACCCACCCACCCACTCACCCACCCACTCACCCACCCACTCACTCACTCCATCTCTTCTCCATTTTATCTGTTTTTTGTTCACACGTTACGTGCGTTTGTACATTTACTAAAAAAAGGAGAAGATACTAAATGTTTAACTTTCATACTCGAGAATGGCCAGCCAGGGTGTTCAGGTCGTAATAATTAAGGCGGTACAATCATTGACGGTGGTGGTGTGTCGCCTTCCACACGGATTAACGCTGTTACATAAACACTGCTGGGGGTCTGACCCGTGACCTGCACCTAGCCTGGCACAGCACTAAACCCATGGCACCTGCTGGGTACGACCCGTGACCTCCTGGTGCACCTAGCCTGGCACAGCGGGACAACCCATGGCACCTGCTGGGTCTGTCCCGTGACCTCCTGGTGCACCTAGCCTGGCACAGCGGGGACAACCCATGGCACCTGCTGGGTCTGTCAAGTGACCTCCTGGTGCACCTAGCCTGGCACAGCGGTACAACCCATGGCACGTGCTGGGTTCTGTCCCGTGACCTCCATGCACCTAGCCTGGCACAGCGGGACAACCGATGGCACGTGCTGGGTCTGTCCCGTCACCTCCATGCACCTAGCCTGGCACAGCCACTACAACCCATGGCACGTGCTGGGTTCTGTCCCGTGACCTCCATGCACCTAGCCTGGCACAGCACTCAACCCATGGCACGTGCTGGGTCTGTCCCGTGACCTCCTGGTGCACCTAGCCTGGCACAGCGGTACAACCCATGGCACGTGCTGGGTCTGTCCCGTCACCTCCTGGTGCACCTAGCCTGGCACAGCGGTACAACCCATGGCACGTGATGGGTCTGTCCCGTGACCTCCTGGTGCACCTAGCCTGGCACAGCGGTACAACCCATGGCACGTGCTGGGTCTGTCCCGTCACCTCCATGCACCTAGCCTGGCACAGCGGTACAACCCATGGCACGTGCTGGGTCTATCCCGTGACCTCCATGCACCTAGCCTGGCACAGCGGTACAACCCATGGCACGTGCTGGGTCTGTCAAGTGACCTCCTGGTGAACCTAGCCTGGCACAGCAGTACAACCCATGGCACCGGCTGGGTCTGTCCCGTGACCTCCATGCACCTAGCCTGGCACAGCGGTACAACCCATGGCACGTGCTGGGTCTATCCCGTGACCTCCATGCACCTAGCCTGGCACAGCAGTACATCCCATGGCACGTGCTGGGTCTGTCCCGTGACCTCCTGGTGCACCTAGCCTGGCACAGCGGTACAACCCATGGCACCTTGCTGGGTCTGTCCCGTGACCTCCTGCCATCCTGGCGTTCGAGACACTTCAACGTGCACCTAGCCTGGCACAAGCGCCGTGGTTGTCTGTGCGTGATCCCTCTAGGTCGACTCAGCAGGGGCCGTGTGTAGACATCGTCACTAGGGGAGAGGCAAAGGAGGCCGGGCGGACGCGATGCTGTCCACAACTTGCCCCTACAGCCTGCTAGAGGCTACCCGGGGGAGCTTTGTCTGTGTGTAGGTGCTGCTGCTACTCGCTACTAACAGCACTTGCCCCTACAGCCTGCTAGAGGCTACCTGGGGGAGCATTGTCTGTGTGTAGGTGCTGCTACTCGCTACTAACAGCACTTGCCCCTACAGCCTTGCTAGAGGCTACCAGGGGGAGCTTTGTCTGTGTGTAGGTGCTGCTACTCGCTACTAACAGCACTTGCCCCTACAGCCAGCTAGAGGCTACCCGGGGGAGCTTTGTCTGTGTGTAGGTGCTGCTGCTACTCGCTACTAACAGCACTTGCCCCTATAGCCTTGCTAGAGGCTACACGGGGGATCTTTGTCTGTGTGTAGGTGTTGCTACTCGCTACTAACAGCACTTGCCCCTACAGCCTTGCTAGAGGCTACCAGGGGGATCTTTATCTGTGTGTAGGTGCTGCTGCTACTCGCTACTAACAGCACTTGCCCCTACAGCCTTGCTAGAGGCTAACGGGGATCTTTGTCTGTGTGTAGGTGCTGCTACTCGCTACTAGAAGCACTTGCCCCTACAGCCTGCTAGAGGCTACACGGGGGATCTTTGTCTGTGTGTAGGTGCTGCTACTCGCTACTAACAGCACTTGCCGCTACAGCCTGCTAGAGGCTACACGGGGGAGCTTTGTCTGTGTGTAGGTGCTGCTGCTACTCGCTACTAACAGCACTTGCCCCTACAGCCTGCTAGAGGCTACCTGGGGGAGCATTGTCTGTGTGTAGGTGCTGCTACTCGCTACTAACAGCACTTGCCCCTACAGCCTTGCTAGAGGCTACCAGGGGGAGCTTTGTCTGTGTGTAGGTGCTGCTACTCGCTACTAACAGCACTTGCCCCTACAGCCTGCTAGAGGCTACCCGGGGGAGCTTTGTCTATGTGTAGGTGCTGCTGCTACTCGCTACTAACAGCACTTGCCCCTATAGCCTTGCTAGAGGCTACA